ACTCTGGACCAAAATACTAACTGGGGAGTCGGCCTGTGTGAGTGATGCGTGTGTGATGTGAAATGAGGAGTGAACGAGGAGTGCTGAACGGAGAATGGAATAACAAAAGTTTTCTGTAATGTTTTAATGTGATCATGGAATAATTATTTTTTGTCAACAGCATACGGTGTAAGTACTAGAGATTCAAAGATAACAAGCTTTATTGAACAGGTGTAAAAGTGAGAGTACTCTGAGAAAAGTACTCTGAGAAAGTACTCTGAGATGAAATACCTTGCTGAAGGTACTGGGAGTCCCTCCCTCTGCTGTTTGTCCTGACAATGATTCGGTCCAACCGCAGTGAGCGGTCGTTGGTTGAAGGACAACTTTGGTTTGTAATTCACATTTAGGGGAGTATAAAATTAGAAACATACATATTGTTAAGTCTGTATTTGGCTACAGCCTCTGCCCTGATGTCACACACCGTCTGTCAATGTAATTATGTTTTGCCCAATTGGATTGATTGACAGGCTGCACAATGCGAAGAGAGGGAAGTGGGCGTTTCTTGTGTTCTAATGTTTGTTTTTCAGATGAAAGATAAACTGCACCTGCTTCAGGGATGACAGTAGTATGGATCATAAGGAAATGAGCCTCTACTTTGGCACCAAAGCCCACAATATGAATTGAGGACGATCCGGGAGGAACAACTGGAGAATGATTGGAACAGTAATCTACACACACATACAGATGCATGTTTTATACTTTGGCCCATGACCAAGAGAGGGAGTATATAATGTTATTGTCATAGGTGGTCATGGTCCTTAACCTTCTAAATCATTAGAAAGAAGTGTAAAACATATATTTACAAGAACAAATAAATAATAGAAAGGGCAGCCTAAAAAAGCAAAATGGGAAAATTATTAAGTAATTTTCGGAGTTGCCAAAATGAAATAAAATTCTATATTTGTCCCATAGGGGGTCATTCTAAATTTAGTGTTGTGCAAATTCAAAAGGAGAAATAATAGCGCTTATAACATCAAACAGATCTACTCTTTAAGATAATAGATCATACAATAATAGAATAGAATGAAATAGTCTCGAGCTATAATGTCATTGGATTCGAGGAGCTATAGGTTGAAAAGTCGCTAAGAAGAGGTGTCAGAATAAACAATAGTAATAATAGTTAGACTAGTGAATAATCAAAATAGTTCTATTGTGGAAATAAGGATCAATAAGGTCAAATTGTTCTAATAACTAAAGTAAAAAGGAATCAAATGGAGTCAGATTTTAGATGTTTCTGTTTTCCACATCTGTAGGAACTAGTGCAGATGTGTTTATAGAGAGTAGTATTAAAATGCAGACATAGAACAACAGGCTTTAACAAAATTTTAAATCTAAAAATAGCTCAAATATAACATTGCTTTTGATGCAGCCTCTGAGCTGCTCCATTGGAAAACAGGTTAAATGTTATTGTTTATTACAAACAGCTGATGTATTTACACATATTAAGTTTGGGACAACTCTTTAAACAGTTATAAGCAGTGGACAGAAGCCAGGAATGTGCTTTTGTTTATTAAATAATTAATTTCATAGCCTTATAATTGTGGAAAACGTTTTAAAATAGTTAAAATCCCTTTCAGGCAACTTGATTTAGATGTATGTCTTTAATATTGGAGAACGACTGTGTTGTTTTTGGAATTGTCTGAAATACAATACATAGAATAGTGATTTGCAGAACAAGAACCAGCCAATAAAAAATCGTCTATTGCCAATGCTATTGTTACAATCAGAACTCACAAATTGGGAATATGCTTTGGCTCAAACTACAACCAAGATTTGGAGTCACAATAGAGTATAAAATAGATAGATGCTTTCAAAAATAGAGATTATTTTTAGACAGGGCTAATATCAAGCGGTAAAAGGACCATTTCCTTCATATTATGTCCAAAAGTATTTACTTCAAAGGTAGATGAAGTTCATTACAGTTTATGCACAGGTTTATTAGATACTGTCAAATTCGCTTGTTTCAAACATAGGTGAATGTTAACAATGCCAAAAGTTAATGAGATAGATTAATGAGATAGATTAGAAACAACAGAGATTCAAAAACATTTAAAAGCATTTTAATGTATTTGGGTATAGCACAAAAGTAGATATTTAGGTATTTTTTGAGAATTTTAAGAGCTGTCGACTTGTCAATATGGATTAGAAAATCCATAGGGAAACTGTTGTATATTTTAACTATGCAGATGTGAATATTGGCTGACCCTGATTTGAACTGTCTTTTCCTAAAGCAAAAAGACCTGGTTTCCCCATGTTCCTTTGTTAGTCCAAAGTGCATGGGTGAGTTAATGATAGGTAATCTGCGGGGGGAATTCTGCTAATCCTGAAGAAGGAGGGGGACCCAGAGAGCCTTCTGCCTTATCTCAAAGAAGTAATAAATTTGGGGAGTGGTAGTGTGTGTGAATGATTCTGTTTAACGTACGGCAGACAGAGGGGACATGATGGAAGAGGCCGGACCCAAGTCCTGCTTGATACGACACGCCCCCTGCTTCCTGAACATCGACTGATAATGCTCTGGCTTGGGAAGACACAGAAGGATCAGCCGAGGGCCAGAGAAAGGGACATATTAGTTTTAGGAGCACTTTTTGTTGAATATTCTGTATCTGATTGTAAAGATAATTAAATGCAGATGTTAAAACTTGGAGATCTGTTGTCATGCCTCTGCATCAACTCGAACACGTCAGTCAAGGGAATTATTGACTCCAAGCGCACGTCATTTTGGCCACTTTTGAGCTGGGACCCTCCCCCACTGGTTGCAACCACCAATTAACAGCTTTATAGAGGGCAACACAAAAACAAACTGAATTGAAAAAAAATTGAATTATTCCCATTATAATGTTTGGAAGATGTAATGAGAACCCAATGCCATGAGTTTTCCCCGCAGAGGGACGAATACCTGGTCTCTTATCTTATCTTCATGTCCGTAAGAGGAAATGAAAATGCTTCTCATGCAGCTTGTGTAATAGCTCAGATTAAATAAAGTTGGGATGACCTAGGCCTTTTTTTAACTGACATAATTCAATGCTGTCATGCACGAGAAGGCTGCTCCTCTGACGGGCTAAAGACACAGATTACAGATAATGATGCAGCTCTTATCTCTGTGTCTGTCTGTTATGCCTTAAGTGTTTTGCTCTCATTACTAAAAGAATAAAGGTATGCCCAGTGATTTCAGCAATCTTAAAGTAGCAATATGTAAGATTTTCAGGTCAAGTCATCATTAAATGGCCCAAATATGTCTAAAGGCATTAATAAACCATGCTCTTTTTTGAATACTTCTGTCAGTGGCATGGGGTTTCCGACCTTACATATAGTGCATGCAGTTTTGAGTTCTGTTTTTAGTGTGGGTTGCAGTGTTTTCTTTAAAAGACAATGTAGAGAGGAAGCCATGGACCACACCCCCACCACATGCCATTGGTGGTAATCAGCCAGGTTGAGGACAAAACGGGAACAGGTGGGGAAAGACGGGAGGAAGGAGAGAAAAAGAAAGAAACGGAGACTCAGGGGAAGCGCACGGAAGGAGCTACAGGAGCGAGCGTTTTGGATCGCAGCGCAGGAGAACCGAAGCCAGAGCAGACGCCGGACGGAGACTGGACGGGTTCGAGGCTGCGCAGACACTCACGAGTGGCAAAGGAGCGGCGCGTCGGGCTGGACACCCCCCCCCCTTTTCTCCCTCTTCTGGAGCGGCTAAGCGGTGGGCCAAAGCAGCGGGACCAGCGGAGCCAAGGCGGCATACAACGCTGGAAATGAGATAAGTAAAGGGACGTATACGAATCCTCACGCTGTGATCTGAGCACTTTAAATAGTATTGGGCAGCGTGTAATCCCCGGTCCTCTCCACAGCTGGACACAGGCCACAGACGCGCAGCGGACTGGGGTCAACAGGAGCAGAGTCGTGGGAGAGCGGACGCACACTACCGGGAGGACAGCTGGCCCGGGACAGTACAATCCGGGAGACGAAGGCTCTGGGGTTTTAGTTTTTTAGTACAGATTTTTAATCCATAAGGCCCGGCTTTTTTTAACCTTATTTATTCCCTGTAAATAAATTTTATCCGATCAAAACCGTGTCGTCATTCAGCAGTGGGTTTTATCAAGCTGATCAAAGAACCTCACATTTGTGACATTTTATTTGGCGTTGCTGGCAGGATCAGCCCCACTGTTGAATGATGAATGTACAGCCTAGTACAAGCACGGGTCTTACAGCCCAGTTCACAATGCCCTGGTTCATGGGCGCAGCGTTCATCCCCAAATTCGATGGCGATAAAGCTAAATTTGTTGACTGGAAAGCGCAGGTGGAGGCTATGATTAGGGCCCAGGGTTTAAGCGATCTACAACAAGCTGATTTTGTCCTAGCCGCACTGGAAGGCGAAGCTAAACAAGAAATACAGCTGGTAGACCCCAGAGACAAAAACACAGGAAAGAAAATGTTGGACTATTTACAAAAACTTTATTCTAAGCCAGCCACAAAATCACAATTGAGGACAAATTTCTACAATTGTCGACAACGGGCAGATGAGAATGTGAATTCATTCATCCTAAGACTGAGAGACCTGTTCAGCAAATGGAGTAACATTGACGATGTAGCAACTGGTGATAGAGATGAGTTGCTTTTAGAACAATTTACAACTGGGTTAAGAAAAGGGCCAGTGAAACAGGAATTGAACAGATTAATGAGACGGGATCCCATGGTATTTACGGAAGCCTGTAAAGAGGCCCGGGCCCTAGAAAAAGAACAGGATGAAGAAGGCGAGGACATATTGGCTCAGAGGGTTCGGACACACACCCACAATACAACGCCTAACCTTAACCCCAATGATTTAAAAGGACAGTTGCATGCAGAGCTTAAAGAGGAGCTAATGGGGGAAATAAAAAAGGAAATTTTGGACCATCTGAGGGCTTTGTCTACTAACTTGGTGGAAGAAGTAAAGGCCCAGCTCCGCAGCCCAACTTTGCCTCATGTCGAGAATGATACGCCCCCAGGTCAACACGATCGCTGGGACACTCAAAAACGCCCAACTCGCCCGCAGGACATTCGCACTCCAGCTCGGGTTCGGCAGCCAGTCCGTAGTGCCTACCAGTGGGATGACCAAGGACGGCCGATCTGTCGACACTGCGGGACGCCAGGACATTTTCAACGCACATGCCCACACAAGTTTCCTCCGAACTCGGATTTTTAGCTCCCCCTGCAGCTGAGGGCCAAGCAGTGGGGGCAATTTTATCAGAACCAGAGCCCACAACGCAGACCACAGCACTCAATCCCCGAACCCCCAACTGCAAGTCAGCCCTGGTCGGTGAGTGTTTAGACGTTGCTGTGAAACTCGATGGCATAACCATGCCTTTCGTGCTGGATACAGGGTCCCAGGTCACCCTTTTAAGTCAAAGCTTGTTTGACAAACATTTGAAAAGGACTGGAGTAAAGAGTGCAAAGACTGTGCCGTGGCTAGCACTGCGAGCTGCTAATGGTCTGACGATACCATATGTTGGCTATGCCATGGTTGACTGTGTAGTGGGGAATATTCATGTGGCAGAGAAGGGGGTAATAATTGTGGAGGATGACTGTTTGGGCCCAGATAAGGGGATACTGGGGATGAATGTCATACAATCTGTCTGGTCTGCTCTCACCCAAGGGAACCATCCCGGCCTGTCGGCGTTCAGAACACTTCTGCCACCTACTGAGGGAAAGGTCTGGGACCAGGCTTTCGCAGAGTGCCATCGTGTTGCCACAAGAAGCCCTACTCCCCCCTATGAAGGTACTGCTAAACTAACTCGACAACCGCCGGTAGTTATCCCACCGCATTCTGAAATGGTCTTGTGGATGCATGTGACGGGAGACTCGGTCGGCCAACCACAGGTCCAGGTGGAACCCCTCCCAGGGGGCAGCTCAGAGTGGTATGTAGGACGCACCTTGGCTAGGCTTAGTAAGGGGCGGGTACCGTGCAGAGTGTGTAACCCTAACCCCTATCCGATAGAGGTTCCCCAGCGTCAGGCACTAGCCCAAGTTACTGAGGTCTCCCCATCAGACATTAAAGGGGAACAAGAGCTGGTGCTAGATTGCATTGAACCAGATGTGGTGGAAGTGGGGGTTAGGAGAGTGGGGGTAGAAGACGGGGAAGAGCCCCATCCAGTCGTGTCCTTACAGGGAGAGGGCCTGACAGGGGAACAGCAAAAAAAAATGAACAGTCTTTTGGATCGGTGGAGGAGCGTGTTTTCCCAACACGAAGAGGACTTTGGCCGGACAAATGCTGTAAAACACCAAATCCCAACCGGTTCTGCCCCCCCTAGCCGGGAGAGGTACAGACCTGTTCCACCTAGCCTCTATTCTGAGTTACAGATTTTGTTAAAGAATATGTTAGACAATGGGATTGTCCGGGAAAGTTTGAGCCCCTGGGCAGCCCCCATTGTGTTGGTGAGAAAGAAGGACGAGAGCTGGAGGTTCTGTGTAGACTACCGCAGACTAAATGCACTGACTCACAAAGATGCCTATCCCCTTCCCCGTATTGAAGAGTCTCTTACCGGATTAAAATCAGCAAAATGGTACTCCACTCTGGATCTGGCCAGCGGCTACTGGCAGGTTGAGATGGACCCTGACGATCGGGAGAAAACTGCCTTCACAACCCCTTTGGGCCTCTTTGAATTTGAGCGAATGCCCTTTGGGTTGTGTAATGCGCCGGCAACCTTCCAAAGGCTAATGCAAAGGTGCCTTGGGGACATGGTGAATGAATCATTGTTAATTTATCTGGATGACATTGTTGTGTTTTCTCCTACGTTTGACAGACACATACAGCACCTGGAGGAAGTTTTTGAACGGCTTCAGAAACACGGCCTAAAGCTCCAGCCCAAGAAGTGTATGTTGTTTCAGAGAAAAGTCACTTACCTCGGCCATGTCATCAGCGAAGAGGGCGTCGCCACCGACCCAGCGAAAACCGCAGCGGTTAAGGAGTGGCCGGTACCTCAAACAGTGAAGCAGGTAAAATCCTTCTTGGGCTTTGCGGGGTATTATAGACGCTTTATCCCAGGGTTCTCAAAGCTAGCGTTACCCTTGAATGCTCTGACCCGAAACACTGCCAGTGAAAAGAGGACAGCCCCAGTCTGCTGGACCCTAGAGTGCCAGACAGCTTTTGACCAGTTAAAGACTGCACTGTTAAATGCCCCCATACTGGCTTATGCAGATTTCTCCCAGCCATTCAAATTGTACACTGATGCTAGTTTTGAGGGCTTGGGGGCAGTCTTAGCTCAGGTACAGGACGGCAAGGAGCGGGTGATTGCCTATGCAAGCCGCAGCCTGCAGCCAGCTGAGAGGAATGACCAAAATTATAGTTCCTTTAAGCTGGAACTTTTGGCTTTAAAGTGGGCGGTCACCGAAAAGTTTAAAGACTACCTGTATGGTGCAGAATTCACCGTTTTTACAGACAATAACCCTCTGGTACATTTGGAGACTGCTCGGTTGGGGGCAGTAGAACAGCGGTGGGCCGCCCAACTAGCTAATTTCCAGTACACTATAAAATACCGACCGGGGACGCAGAATTGAAATGCTGACGCGTTGTCAAGGTTGCCTCAGCGGGTCATGGCAAGAACGGACAATGTCAGCGTGGAAGACGGGGAGACTTGGCGAGAACGCCAGGCCAAGGACCCAGAGCTCGTACAGATACGGCAGTGGAAGGAGCAAGGGACCACATGCCCAGAGGTACGTGACCCCTCATTGTACACAAGACGACTCTTGAGGGAGTGGGAGAATCTTACACTTCGGGACGGAGTACTTTGCCGCATGTGTGAAGAGACTGGCTCCGGGCTAACAATTTTCCAGTGTATTGTTCCCAGGCAAGAGGCGAAAGATCTTTGGCAGACCTACCACGAAAAGATGGGCCACCCAAACAACGACCGGACCGTGGCAGCCCTCAGGCAGCGCTGTTACTGGCCAAGAATGACTGAGGATGTCAAGGAATGGACTCTAGAATGCCCTCAGTGCATTTGTAGCAAGTCTGGCCCAGAAAGGAGGGCCCCGCTACAGTCAATCAACACCTCGTACCCATTCGAGGCGGTGGGACTGGACTATCTTTCCCTGGGCCGTCCAGAGGACAGGTATGCCTACATATTGGTTATGACTGACCTGTTTTCAAGATTTGCCATTGCAGTACCGACTAAAGATCAGTCTGCGGAGACCACGGTCAGAGCTCTCCATAACCACTGGATCCAAATGTTCGGCTGTCCAGAACGCATCTTGACGGACCGAGGGGCGGCTTTCGAATCCATGCTCTTTGGTCAACTGTGCGAGTTGTATGGGTGCCAGAAAAGCCGCACAACAGCTTACCACCCCCAAGGAAATGGGGCTTGCGAGCGATTCAATCAGACCCTATTGGGGCTATTGGGGTCGTTGGAAGAGAGCAGCCAGACTCAATGGCACGATAAGTTGCCTGCCCTACTCCAGGCTTATAATAACACGGTCCACAGCTCCACCGGATTCACACCCCACTATTTAGTCTTCGGAAGACATGCCAGGCTACCAGTGGACTGGGCGACTGGGCTACACCCGACCCAAGAGAACCACACCTTGGAAGGGTGGGTTAAGACTCATCGAAGGGCGCTAGACCATGCATATAAAGTAGCTAAGCAGAAAGCCCAACACCGACAGGAGCAAGACCAAGCTCGTTACAATCGAAGAGCCCATACAGTGCCTTTTTTGCCAGGGGAAAGGGTGCTGATACGAAACTTTCCAAGGGAAAAGTTTCCAAGGGAAAAGCTGGCGCCTAGGTGGAACCCAGTACCCTTTGTAGTGGTGGCTCCATTGGCAGAAAACCACCCAGTCTATATTGTGCGGCCTGAAGGTAAAGAAATGCCCACACGAACAATTCATTGTAATAATCTGCGCCCTTGTCCTATGAATTTGTTACAGCAGGACCCAGACCCACCCCCTGGGCCAGAGGCTGTGGCGGTTAGGCTAACCCCGCCGCCTCCCACCTGGTGGTTACCAGAACGGCCAAGACCAGCCCCCGCACCACCAGCCATTCAGATAGTGGAACCAGAGCCTCCACCTGGGCCTCCAGAACCCATGTTTCCGATAGTACGCCGTTCACAACGTGCTAACATTGGTAGACCGCCTGCCAGGTATTTAGATTGAGCATTGGCCGGGACGACCAATGGTAAAGGGGGGAGGAGTGTCAGTGGCATGGGGTTTCCGACCTTACATATAGTGCATGCAGTTTTGAGTTCTGTTTTTAGTGTGGGTTGCAGTGTTTTCTTTAAAAGACAATGTAGAGAGGAAGCCATGGACCACACCCCCACCACATGCCATTGGTGGTAATCAGCCAGGTTGAGGACAAAACGGGAACAGGTGGGGAGAGACGGGAGGAAGGAGAGAAAAAGAAAGAAACGGAGACTCAGGGGAAGCGCACGGAAGGAGCTACAGGAGCGAGCGTTTTGGATCGCAGCGCAGGAGAACCGAAGCCAGAGCAGACGCCGGACGGAGACTGGACGGGTTCGAGGCTGCGCAGACACTCACGAGTGGCAAAGGAGCGGCGCGTCGGGCTGGACACCCCCCCCCCTTTTCTCCCTCTTCTGGAGCGGCTAAGCGGTGGGCCAAAGCAGCGGGACCAGCGGAGCCAAGGCGGCATACAACGCTGGAAATGAGATAAGTAAAGGGACGTATACGAATCCTCACGCTGTGATCTGAGCACTTTAAATAGTATTGGGCAGCGTGTAATCCCCGGTCCTCTCCACAGCTGGACACAGGCCACAGACGCGCAGCGGACTGGGGTCAACAGGAGCAGAGTCGTGGGAGAGCGGACGCACACTACCGGGAGGACAGCTGGCCCGGGACAGTACAATCCGGGAGACGAAGGCTCTGGGGTTTTAGTTTTTTAGTACAGATTTTTAATCCATAAGGCCCGGCTTTTTTTAACCTTATTTATTCCCTGTAAATAAATTTTATCCGATCAAAACCGTGTCGTCATTCAGCAGTGGGTTTTATCAAGCTGATCAAAGAACCTCACATTTGTGACACTTCTTTAACTGATAACAATAGTTCAGCCGAGATATTTCCATTTCAACATTAGTTTTACAGTCCCTAAGTCTTGTTTTTGTTTCAATTTCGATGTCCTGCCTTCTATTGTTTTACCAATCCGAAAGGCCGTACTCCGGGTTGCCAGAACTCACGTGTCAAACCAATCTCACTGGTAAAGAAACATGTGGCCGCCAAAGTAAAATAGGTCTTGTTATGATTCTCAAATCATTATGACAAAACAAGTATTACATTTTAATCAGGGATATCTTTATGAAAAAGGTTGGTTATAGATTTGTTGTTGACAAAACTCTTGTCTATCCCAGCTGGTTTTGTTTGCATATCTGGCAACCTGAGTCAGGGAGAGTGCAATAACACTAATGGCCAGATGTTTACATACTGCTCCGTTAAGTAGCAAGCACAAAGCAAAATGGAGAAAAAAACGTTATACAATTCTATAATATTGAGGGACTATGTTGATTGATTGATTAAATAATTTCTGCTCGAATAAATACAATCAAACATTCATAATTATTTACAATACTTAAATTCCTTAGTTAATAAAGATACTTTTGTGCAAACTGACATCTGACTCATGTATAATATTTACCTCGGGATCTGTCTCACCAAGAAATCTAATCCGAAAAAAACCTGTCACACGGATTTTAGGGCAAGTCTAATATAATAAATCTTACAGACCTCAATTTCACAGAGAGTACAGAGGCTCATTGATACAAGAGGAGGAGGATTTTAAGGCCACAAATAATCAGGATCAAACATGCATTTTTGTTCTCTGAAAGATCGACGATAGAACAGTGTTGCAGCTGCATCAGTTAATTCATTAAAATAAGGCCCTGGTGTGTTTGTATCTTCATTTCTATCTGCCACAAGACGCTCTGTGACAGTTTGAATCCTCATTAATGATGAAGTTAAAACAGTAACTCGGTTGTGGGAATGTTTCCTGAACAAAATGTGGTGTTTATTTATAGTCTCAACTTCCAAAAAATGCAAGCAGTGCTATTCGCAAAAATGAAAACAAAAATTCAAGTCGGCTCCCTCTGTGTTTGTGCAGTGGCAGAGAGGGGGAGGAATCTCAGTCATTCTAAACCCTCCATCTTTTACAGTGAATTCCATTCACGCTTTGACATGTTCCTGCTTTCCAACTCGACTCGTGCGACCGCTCTTGATAAAAATTAACAACCATATTATAGATTAGATATTATTATAACTTTAACTTTGCCTTACAAATATAAAGAATTAACACTAAATAAAAAAACAACCCTGTCCAATCTTCATCGATGCATTTTCCAAAGGGGAACACATTGGATCAGCTCACCTAATGTATTTATTTATTTAATAATTTATTCGAACTATATTGATACTGCACAAAATGAGTGGGCTGAAGTAACAAGCTTGTGAACACCCCCAACCGCAAAACTCAATTACATTCATGGAGATGAACAGCCGACTGAGGCCCACTAGAGTTTTCTCTTAGACCTGCTCCCTTCTACATCAAACAGACCTTAGATTGTTTATGAGTTAGTATCAGGATTAGGTATATTTATAGGTTATAAATCTCCAACGCACGGTCTGAGAATTCATTCCCTGAAGAAGTCCTTTGGATTGAGGACGAAACGTCGGGAAAACTTGCTAAGAAGTACAGATGATGGGTGAGAAACCTTCCTTTGCTTTGACTAATCCCTGTACGACTGAGGGCTTACACAAACTTTCCTTGTCAGGGTTCACAGTGTAGAGCTTGCAGGTAAAAATGTCCATTTCTTGATACTGTCTGTGGAGGGACCCAAGTAAAAAATGCAGACATGATTAAAACACACTTCAGCACGGTTAGCACTCTTGCTTCTTAGCAAGAAGGTAGTTTGAATCTCGGTCGGAACAGGGCTTATCTGAGTGAAGTTTGCATGTTCACTCTGTGTCTGTGTAGGTTTCCTCCAGGTGTTCCGTCTCGCTTCTCGTAAAGTGCTTTGTGTGACCTTGGTCTGTAAAAATACAAATAAAGATGAATTACTTACTTACTACTCCTCTGATCGCTTGTGTAGGTACCAGTTTGCTCTCTGAAGCCAAAGGTGAATTAAAGTGCGGCGGACCAAGCACATTTACCTGCGGTCGAAGATGGTGCCAGGAGTCAAAGGGGCAGACAACAAATTGAATAGAATCGATGTGTATTTGTCATTGTCAGGTATACACAGTTCATTTTAGCAGCTCCATGGTCATCAAGGCCTTCTCAAACTTAGTACAATAGAAAGGAAAGACACTACACACAAGGACTTAGTTCGACAAATATGTAGGAGGTCACTGAGCAAACACAAAAGACACAAACCAAACAGAACATTGGTGCAGTAATAAAACGGTTGACATTATAGCAGTTAGTAGTACACTCCAAGGACAGAAAATTCATGGGATTTAGGTCGAGGCAATCTGGGTAAAAAAAAACAATGGGGAAATGTTGGTGTTGCATCAGGGGTTACAGAACAGCGGGAATGAGGAGCACACAGGACAAGAACAATAATTACATACGACATCTCTAACTTTAGCGTATTAAAGAGTGTGTGTTTTTTTGAATCATTGCATTTCTTATGTTTTACCTGTTGATTCTCTGATCTGTGGTGGCGAATTCGACTTTTAGGGCTATCGAACTGTAGTAAATACTGTATATTCTAGTGCAAGAAGAATAAGAGTTTGGGATCTTTAAATTTTTTGCCCAGTTCTAATGTGATGTACAAAGAGCCATGGAAAAACCTGCATATATTTGGAAAAACAAAGGGGACAAACAACACAAGAAAAAAATGGACATTGGTCGGTTATACAGGGTTCGATTGAAATCAGGGGATCAAAATAACGGTGGCAGCGGTGGTTGTATTTCAGGTTCTAAGAGTGCTGCATCAGTCACTCCTCGTCTGAGCCTCAGTGATGTCCT